ACTAGTACATTTTCTGTGTAATATATTGGTGTCAAACTACCATGTGGTACCTTTTGACTTAAGAGCCTTGGACCAACCGAGACGAAAGTCCATTTTTTGTTTAAAAACGAATAAATAAATAAATACGCGAGAGTAGGTACATTGGAATACAGAGCAGGCAACTAAAATTGTATTCGCACAGTATAATTTTTGTGCGCAAGGTCATCAAGTTAAAATCACTAAGCCCTATAGTGATCCGTGATGCATTGTACCTATTTGGATACACAGTTTTTCTTCAATACATATACCTATACACAATACAACGTTGGCGAGTTTGTTTATCATAGTATAGGCATCTGTATTTTTTAATGATGGGAATATTGAGGTTCAACGTGACTCCCTTGAATTTATCCCATGCAATTTATTTGCATCTTTGCTGTTAAATCTTTGTTGCCCTAACTTATCTATGTCTTATACAGAAACAGATCTATAGTCTTACTGCGATTGTTGTAAGACAAATTTAGTAACAAAAGAAAAATGTAAAGTAACTATCTCACACACCTAGTAGTATATTGGTACCTAATGAAAATGTATGTATGCACATCTGTTTGAAGTATTTAATATAAGTAACTAATGTGAAAAAAATTTTAATATAATGTTTTACCAATAATTACTATTATTATTCAACTATGGTATACTAAGACATAATGTCCTATCGAACATGATATTAACAATAAATCATCAAATTTCTTCTACGGAGTAATTATTACGGGACAAATATTTTGTGAGAAGGTCGAAATAACTTTCGTAATTCCTATAAATTATAATGCTATGTACGATTAATAAGACTAGATCAATACCCTTTCTTACACTGATATTTCAGGGAGAAGAGAGTGAAAACTTAAACGTTCTTAGCGTTCATCATTATACATTTCTCACATGATGAGTTTCTTTAAAAACTTTCGAAATTGTTATAAAAATAAATATCGTTTTTACTATCTATTATGGTTATAGCACTCATAACATATTAAATCTGTATAAACCATTAAATAAATGTTTTATTCATATATATATATATACAGATGGTAGGAAAAGGAAGAAGTAGATGAAAAGGTAAAGATTATTATTTTCAACTAATTAAATAATATAGGAACACTTATATATCTGTTAGGTTAACAGAAAACTTTATTAAATAATGCAAAGGGATAATATTGTAATATACGACGAATTAACGGCGTAATAATATGACCAAAGAGATATATACTTCGTTAGAGACAAGTTTCCAGCTTATTTGATTGAAAATTACATCAAATGTTCGTATAATCAATAATCTGTTTCAAACATATTCTACCGTGAACTATTTGAATCAAACATTATTATTATTATTATTTATTATTTAAACTATTACAGTTTATTTTTGGTAAACGTACAAATATTTTGATTTTTATAATAATTTTCAAGAAAGGTAATTATATATGTGTAAGTGTGTGTGTGATTTTAATAATCCATAAACAAATATGAATGCGTTATTTTAATGTAATTTGACAATATTGTACAGTTTTAAAATCGATATTTTGAATTGCTTAACATTGTTTAGTAGTTTCCTCGGGAAAACACGTTTATAAATATAAATTTAAACTTAAATACATACTCAAATTCAATTTTATATATACGTTAATTTTTAGTAATTTACGAGCATCAGAACATGAAAACCTATCGTACGAGAAGGTAAATGTTTTAAAAATTTATGTTCTGGAAGTAAACAGCGCATTCGGTTAATTCCGTACAAAAGAGTCTTTAAAAAAAGATAAATAGAAATTAAAGAAGAATGTTTTTTGTGGATTCCACGTTACACGTAGTAGTGCAGTTGTAATTTGTAAGTGTGCAATTGCAAAAGGCTTTCTTGAATAACAAAACAAGAAATGTAAAGCCGTATAGCACAAACGAAACCCATAAAGTACAATAGAACAAGATTAATAATAAATAGGTGTATACGTATATATACGTATATATACGTATATACGTACATAATATGTACACAACCTAACCCATTCCTGTAAGGTCAAGACGGTGTGCTTTGATATCCGTAGAAATTCGTTGATATAGTGATTGGAAACACCGTTAATACCTGTTTAACGATAATACCTGGAAAACGATTAGAAAAATACGTTATAATTGTGTTCATTTAATTCAGAAGTGCGTGATTTTGAAGTACCTACGTGAACAGTTCGTCACGAGTCTAAAAACATACTTAAATGTATTAGACCAAAGATGTGATAAATCAGATGTACCACCTGCACCGTTGCAGTTATAATTCAAGGCCCGTCGGTAACGAGTATGTTTTTGTTGTACGCACGATTGTACTCCAAAGGGCTATAAATAAGAATTAACAGCGGCTAAAAGGTGTGCTCGGTGTTGGTTTTATTTTTTTACAGAGATGAGATAATTCGTATAAATAAATGGACGGTGATTTTAAAAAGAATTACCGTAGTCAGGCAAATCGTCATAGTGGAGGCAATATAACTGTGTAGAGTTCTATAGCCATTTTGGAATCTTCTTTGCGGGGGATCCGTTTCGATTGTTTACCGGGTCATAATATAACATTATTGTTCACGGCTCTGCAGTCGCAGTGTCCAATCGAATGGGATGTATCTTTCTTTTTTTTCCCCCCTGTACAAACTAAGTGTCGTTATCTAAGAAATAACCGAATCGTCGCAAACGGGGGTGGAACGGTGCTGGGGCGTGTCCGTGTAGCTTCGCGTTCGGCTAAACGGTCTAGCATATCATTTTACACGCACATGAGTATCCGGCACGGTAAACGCAACGGTGCGCCGGCCGGATTCACGCATCTCGGAAGGTCGGGGCGCACCTGAAATTCGTTGACAAAAATAGGTACTACCGGACGAGGCATTATCGAAGTGTAACGACCTAGAGCTAGACAGTTCAAGGACTTCGGTTCGCGCGCGCTTTCTTTTTCGAAATTCGATGTAAATGCAGCGGTCGGCGAGGGCCCGACACGAAAACGTCCCCGCGAATCACCTACACCCCTACACAGATGTCATGCGCGCACGCGCGACACGGACCGTACGGGTTCTCTGACTTCGGCACGTGTGCGTTCGTGTTCCTTGCGCGCCTCTGTTGGCAACCCGTTCGAGGTCAGTGGCGACCTCGCCGCCGCAGCCGGACCGGACTACCGCGCACCGGTGCTGCACCGAAGCCGGGGCGGGTGGAAGTGTATTGTTTTTTGCGCGTCGGCCGCTCGCTCGGACCGCCGCGGTCCCGGCAACGTCCTTGCTTTGCCCTTCGTTGCATGGCGCGCGTGCGCGCGAAAACACGCGGCGCTCGAGTGGTCACCGAAAAACCGGTGCGCGACCCGCGGTAGGTCCGGACGGACGAAAAAAGGCGACGGGGAGATTGGAAATAATAATATTAACAACGCGGCACCGGCAAAGGCCTCGACCCGAATCGAGAGACACTCGTGGTGGTGGGCGAGAGACGGAGAAAAACGGCCATCGCCGCCGCGCAGACGCACACGGTAATGTCGGTCCGCGACGTTTGCAAGCCTGCGCCGAGCGGCGTATCACCTCGGTCTCGCGGTCCCCACCACACTCCGGTCGGCCGACTCCCCCCGCGCGATAGCCTTGAACCGCCGTCCCTACGGTTTCGTCATTGCGTACGCGACCGTCGTCGACCAATCGGATCGCCCATGCCGTTGTGTCCGCGCTCGCGTCTAGGGTGTCGTTTCATCTCTCTCTCGCTCGCACACGCTCGGTCACCGTCTCTCGGTGCATTTCATTATTAATATTATTTTATTCCGCGCCGTGCCGTTCATCCTCTCTCCGCGCTCCGTCTTCGTTCGCGCGCCGTCTCCGCCGTCGCACGCGCACTGTTATTGTTGTCGGCTTGTCGCCCATTGTCGTTTTTACGAGTAAAACAGCGTGTTCGCGTGTTTATCGTCGTTTTCATAGAAAAAAAAAAAAACGTGTAGTTCGTCGTCATGTCGCTTCCTCCGTCTCCGCAGTGGTCGCCGTCCATTCGCCGTCGTCCGTCGTGAACGCGAACGGCACGTCGCGTGTGCACCTACATTTGCGCGACCGCGTCACGTTCGCGGCGTTCGTCCCATGCGTTTGTCGCGTCTCGCCGCCGTGACGACCGCGATCGCTAGTGCTGGTGCTGTTACGACGTCGACGGTGTTCTAAGTAGGACACGCGAGATCCGCGCGCGCACCACCCGCCGCTGCCGCCGCCGCCGCTGCCGAGGTAAATGAACTGCGCGCGCCGCGTCGAACGGCAAACTGGACCGCAGTGATGAATCCATTACGCGTTGTCCGCGCTTAACACGCCTTCGCCGAGCGACCCTTTCTCGTCCGGTCCTGGCCCCGTCCGTCTTTTCGCGTCCCACCCCCTACGGCTGCCCACTCGAAGTTAGGTCTTGTAGTTAAGTGTGTGTGTGTGTGTGTGTGTGTGTGTATTAGCTAACGCGTGTTACGGACACAACTCGCGGTGGTACCCGTGCCGGTGTGAATCGTTGGTTTTTTTTTCCACTACTACCTTTAGTGTCGTACGCGGTCGCCGTCCGACCACCCGGTATCTCGTCCGCTTTTACGCAGTGTCCGATCACCGTTAAACTCTCGTTATCGCCTTGGTACGCATAGTAAGACCATACCTCTTCTTCTCGTGTTATGAAGGTAAATTAGTACAGTTTTTTTGTGAAGACGAAACTTCAATAACGTTTTCTCTGTTTGAGATGTGTGCGCGCATCAGTCGTTGAGCTGTATTTTAATATTTATGATAAGGAAAGCGTTCAATGCCAAGTGGCGCATACTGATAAACAGCCATCACGTTCACATACCATTCCTTTTCGATGTGTAATTAGGCCGAGTGTTGTTTTAAAAAATCTTTTCACATCCAATACGAGTGTTTGGAGAACATTTTGTTTTTGTACGCTTATCATTAACAACCCCACCTATCATGTTTTCGATGTATGGAATTGTGTTCTAATGTTTTGTTTTTTTTTTCTAGTTACTTGTCGTTTGAAGACGAAATGCAAATTAGCCGAATGCCGATCCCGGCAGATGACTGTGCAAACAACGAAATGTCTGTTGACGTTAATCCCTCAGACACCAAGTCCGATTTGGAAACCACAACAAAAGTGAATGGTGATGGGCCCCAAAAACTTAATGGAACGGCTCTTGATGATGTTAAGGAAGCTAATGAAACCTCTGAAACTGTAGTCAAAGAGGAAGTAACAGATGTAAAAACAGAGAAGTTGAAAGCAGATGAGGCAGAAGAAAAAGAAGTTACGGAAACAGAAGCAAAAGAGATAGAATCAGAAAAGAAGACTGAATCGAAAAGTACTGATGAACCCGTCAAAAATGGTATATTCGAACCATCTGAAGAAGATGAGTCGCAAAATAACATTAAAGTAGAAGCCGTTAAAAACTCTGATAATAATGAAAATATTACAGTCGACCACGATAAACCTGACGATAGTACAGCTAAAGATGATGAAGAAGTTAAACCCATGGAAGTTGATGAGACGGAATCAGTTACAAATGTCATCACAAAGGTAGAAGTTGAAGAACCCAAAGCGGAAGAAGATGCTGAAACTTTAGTAGAAGAAAAACTTAACAATGGAGATGCAAATCACAGCAATGAAGTTATGAAAAATTGTGAAGAAAATGTCAATCCAGTGAATGGCGATGCAAACAATTTGGATACTGAAAAAAGTATTAAATCTGAAAAAGTTGGCCTTAAAGTTCCTGAAGAAGAGGATATTTTAAGTGAAGTTAGTGTTGATACACTTTCACCTAAACAGGTATTTATTACATTTTATTGTTCTTGTTTATTTTTCAAATGTTATTATGCCTTTTTTAGAATGATGAACCAATTTCTGCTCGTAAGAGGTCTGCAGCAAGTCATGATGAACTTAGTGCTGTTAGTGGAGCAAGTAGTGATAATGATTTACCTAAAACTAAAAAACTTAAGTCTGACGAAGATACTCATTTAATAAAAGATGATACTCGTGAACGTTTAATTAAGAATATTGTTCAGTCAAGTAGTAAAAATGAAGTTGAATTATCTAGAAACATAGAGAAAATACAAAATGAAATTAAAGTAATCACAGAAATTGCTCAGACTAAACGTGATGAATTAGTGACTCTAATTAGACTCCAAAAACTTAAAGAGGAGATTATTGAACGACTGATGATAAAAGTTAAAGAAATAGATGCTGTTAAAACTGATAACAGTAAAGATTGGAATTTGCCTGAAATGTTCCAAATTAATTTAAGTCAACCTGAGCATATTTTGAGTGAAAAGGTAGTGCTGCTTTTTATTTTATTTTATGATATATTTATTACATTTATATTATTTTTTGTTGCAGAATATCACTGATATTATAGATAATCGTGAGATTCAGCATGAAAAGTCTGTTATCACTAATTATGAACAGAATTGTTATGCTACTACATCATCTACTAGTATCACACCAGTTGCTGCTCCAACCCCTAATGAATGGATATTGTCAGACAGAGTGAACAGGGCTAACCGTGTTCAAAGACCAATATTGCCCAAACCTACAACTGCCAATAATCATAAGGAAGGTCGCCAAGGACCTATATTAGATGTTAAGCTAATTATTGCAGATCATCGATCAAAAAATCCTGAAACTGCTGTAACAAAAAGAGGTCGCCGTAAAGTGGTTCCCAATGATTTTTCAGTACCCACATCATCAGCGCCTTTAAGGTATCCAAATCCATTGGGTTTTGGTAATCCAATTCATCATACTAACGATGGCAATTTTAAAACTAGTAAGTTTTGTATTGTACCCAAGCAGTATTGAAACAAATAAAAAATTATTGTGTTTTGTTCAGCTGTCACAAACACCCATGGCGTTCTAAACAACGTTATGGAACATGGGTCTGAACATAATCGTTTTAAAGATGTTCCTGCTTTTCCAGAAGTAACATTGCATCCAGTCTCACAGCCAATGCAATCACAACAGCAGCAGCATCAACAACAACAGCAACAACAACAACAACAACAGCAGACATCTTTGTTGCACGGTAAGCTTTATAATCAACAAAACTTTATTAAATAAAAGATTCTCAACACGTATGTTAATTAATTTTATATAATAAAACATATTAAATATTTTATATTTTCAAAAATATAACCTATACTTATATTAATTTTAATTATTTTTAATTACCTATATCTTACTTAGGATAAGGAAGTTTGCAATTTATAAATAGGATTACATTTTTTTTTATAACAGTTAGTTATTAAATGTTGCTTATTATCATTGATTTTAAAATTAGTTTTGTATTTTTAAATTTATATATGAATATCAAAACTGATTTACTGTGTACTAAATTTTGTGGACATGTGAATAATTTTTAAAGTTTATAGTGATATTCATGTTAAAGTAGTAAACATTAAAAGATTATTTACTTGTCAACTTATAGATTAAGCAATTTTAATTATATTTAAAAAAAAAAAATAGTATTCATTAACTATTGGTAGTTAATAATATTTTAATAACATCTTAAATAATTTAATAAGCTAGTGATTAAATAAATTTTATTTTTTTATTTAGGAATTTTGACGAAAGGTGCTGGTACACATCATTTACCACTTAGTATGGCTAACCCTCCAACTAATTATTCGCCTACTTTAGCAAGACTTCTAACCGCTCCAGAACGTTGCAAGCAAACTAGAGGAAAACGTCAAACACCTGCAGCTACTGTTGTGTCTTCCAATACGGTAAATTATTTTATATAAGTACAATGAAATGTTTGATAAATGATGTTCCGTTTAATAACTACAGTTCATATTAGTATTTTTTTATTTTTTTAATATTGATATTTCAATGTAATTGTAATAAAATAAAGCTGCATTTAGTGAATGGTTAAGATGTACAGTATTACCTGTTGAATTAACAGTTATATTATTTAAGAAAAGTAAATATCTTTATATTACAAATTTAACTAACAGTGTCATTATGTTTTAAAGAAAACATTATGTCTCAAATTATTTATCTTATCAAAAATCTATTAATATTTTCAAAAAAAACTGTTCATGAATATGTGATTAGATCAATTCAATTGTTTTTCGTTTTTTTTCTGGTTTATGTGGCCAATGTGTTTTAGTGTATGCCAATGTGTATGAATCATCCCATATTGTTGGTTTTCATTGTTTAGCATTTCAATTGAAATATGTCAAATGCTGTTTTTATTTTACATACAGTTTTCTAGTAATTATTACTTAAAGATTTTATTGTTAATATATTACAACTCAAATTCCTGATAAAAATCGTTAAAAAACGTTAAAACGTTAAAAAACTTAAATGATGTAATCTGACTTTGCATTTTTCAATGGGTATTATCATGTGCTCTAAAATATTCAACAACCATTAATCCAAGTGTAAATTAGCTTTAAATATTAATCAATAGTCTTATAAAATATTGACAGTAATAATGAAGTAAAGTTTAAATACATTTTCAAAAGTATTAAATAAAAACATGACAGTTTAAATTGAATCAAATTTTTATTTCAGCAATCACGTAATGAAATAACTATCACTCCCGTTCAAAGCACTTCAATGTCTTCAACCTTTCAACCAAAGCCAAGTATAACACCAAATATACCAGTAAGTTACCTTTTTTATGATTTTAAAAAATATGGATTGTTGATTAAATTAGTTTTGGGTTTTCAGCCAGCTCCGGTAGATGATGAAGATGCATCAGATAGATTGGTTATTGATGAAGGTCAGGATACTATGAATGCAAATTCTCCATCTAGTGCACCTCAATGCCAAGGTTGTATGCAAAAACCAGCGCAGTTTGTGTGTGCTGGATGTGGCAATCAATGGTACTGCAGCAAAGATTGTCAAGTATGCGTAATCATTATATTTGATTCATTTTTATTTTGTTATTGTTTTTAAACTTATTTTAGCATCATAAAAGCTTTTTTTATCTATTTAATTATAATAATTGGATTAAATTGTTTTCTTAATTACATTCAAAATACATAAAAACAGTAAGTATTTAATTTTAATATTTAAATTAAATTAATTATTCTCTCAATTACATTCAAAATACATAAATATAGTAAGAAATTCAATAAATTGAATTGATTAGTCATCTGAGTGTATTAATGATTTGTTTTGATAATCAGCTAACAATTTATAGAGATAAACAACATTATAATTGATATATTATTTATTTTACTCTTAATACATGATTATATATATATTTTTTCCAATTAATAAAATAATTTTTAGCTGAAACATTTTTATTTTTTTTTGGTTTTAACTTGTTTTCATGTCTACTTTTTTATAGTATTTAATCTATAAAATAAATAAATTTAGTACTGTGTTTAGGTTAATTACTATTATGATCAAGGTTTTACTATATTTTTTGAAAAGAAAAAATGTAAAATACATTTTTAATTTCCTTCTGAGTTTGGATTATTGATGTCAAATTGTATATGAATTTAGTAAATAATAATATTAGTTTGTAGATAATATGGAAAACTCATTATTTGTATTTTTGATTTAAAAACATTAATTTATGAACCGTAATAGTAACAAGGTTTTTTGAATTTGTGTTTAGTATATTAACATGCATACAATTTAAGTTTTTTTTAGTTAAAAGTCTTAAATTATTCACTATTCGGAAGTTATATTTAATGTTATATTATTTTTACTCTGAATAATTAATTAGCTAAAATATTAAAGGTAATGGTGTTATACAATTAAAATGGCATGTTATAATTTTTAATTTAACATAGTAATACTTGGCTTTTTGGTTTATTATTTCTTTGGTACAGTTATATTAGGTATTTCTCAAAATATTTAAAAAAAAATCTAGAAAAAAGAACTAGTAGGTAATATAAGAAATTAAAATAATTTTGTACTTAAATTATTATTACTTTTCTCTGTATAGATAAGAATATTTCTTTACATCTTTTGTTATATGTTTAATGACTCATCCATGGTCTTTTGATAAGAAAAGGAAATTATTGTGAAACTAATTCATCGAAACATTTATAATTTTGTTTCCATTTAACTTAAAATGAAAAAATTTTTTCTTATATTTATTATTGATCATTAATAATACTTCATTTCAGACATGTTATAAAATATTTATATATTTATTTTGTTTACAGATTGATGCTTGGGACGATCATTCAGAAGTTTGTAGCGGTTAAATTTAAAATGTAAAACAAGAAATGTGCCAAAAAGATCTCTCAAAGTTTACACTAAAAAAAATTACATTTGAAGTCTAATAAGTATTTAAATTTGGTTCATTATATGAGCTCCATAGTAAATAATTTTAACTGTGTATACAACTATTGTTACATTGAACAGTGAACACATAAAATTATTTTAATTAGGTTAAACTGATGAACTTCGTTTATATCTAATTATGTGTTAATATTTATTATTATTTTTGTAATTTGTATCTAATTGTATATTTGAAAATGTCCTAATTCCACCACTGGTGTATTCGAACGATAGGAACAGATAGTTGTATTTTGAGTATGTATAATATTGTTGGGCAACGACTTATTTAATCTACCCACGGTGTGTTTGTTTTTAATTAATACAAGTACAGTTGTATTTTTTTTAACTATGAGAAATATATCAGATTTTAATATTGATTTTAAGTTCCATTATAAATCATATAACTCCTCGGATGAAATCTTTTTAATGTCTGTTTTAAGATACGCAACTTGTTATATTATATATATTTATTAGATGATAAGATTTGTTTGTTTTGTTTTTTTCTTTTCTTTTTTTTATTCAATTTTTCGAGTTTGTAATATTATTTAAATGTATTGAAACCCCTATTATTGTATTTAAAGTTAAGACAAAAATCTTATTTTAAATCAAAATTATATACAAACACTATGACTATGGTATAATGTTTCATCAGAGCATTTTATTGTGTTTTTTTGTCTTTTGTTGTTATTGTTTGTTGCCTAGTAACTGAATGTTTTACTGCCCAATTTGTGTATGGTGCTATGCTTCTGATTAGTATACGTTAGTAATGCTAAACAGCCAAATATTTTATTTTATTTACTCATAAAAGGTAAGTTTTTTTTTTTTATATATTGCAATTTTCTTAATGCTGTTAAGTAATTTCACTTATAAATATTATACCTAATTTCATTAACTCATATAAGGTAAGTTTTTTTCAATATTTTTAATTTTCCTAATGCTATTGAGTAATTCACGTCTAAATTTTTCGAAACAACAATAGTTTATGTTTCCTATTAAATAGTCTAGAAAATCTGTTGTGGGATATTAAATAAGTTATTTGAATTTGGAATCTTAAAATATATATTTATATGTAAATACTCAGTTGTTCTTATGTGTTAGGTAAGAAGTATTTTGATGATTTTAATATTAGTGTATGAAATGACAAACCATAGTTAACTTAGTTTCTTTAATGAAATATCATTCATGCTAGAGCAGGGGTTAGATATATATATTTGGAAAATGCCTCAATATTGTTAACGGTAAAATTTATTTTATGATTATTTTTCAGTATTATGGTACAATTTAATTTGTGGTTATATATATATTGATAATGTAGTGTTAATGATGTTTTTCTGGTAAAAATGGATATTGAGAATCTGAAAAGGGAAAAAGGAGTTTTAGCTGTGGAACATGAATTGACTGAATTCATTAAATGTCAATGAAATAAAGCAGTGGCCTATGTAGGTTATCATTTGGGAAGGGGCCGATTATGTATTTGATTTTTGGGTGAAGGGAAGGAGGAAGCACACTATTACAAAAAAAAATAATTTAACATAAGACTTCTGATTGTCTTTATATCATCAGAGAAATAAGAAACTCAATTTTTTAATGATTTATTATTTTTTAAAAGTATAAAAATTAAATTTTAATAAACAAATTTTTTATTGGAGCCACTCAAAATTCATCACATATTTTCTTAAAAGAATAAACATATTTTATAAATATAAAATTTTAAATTATCGCATAAGCATCATTCTCAGTGTCGTGACAGGTTTTCGGAAACCCCCAGCATTGAGACATATCCTTGTTAAAAATAACAATCTTTAACAATGGTGTTTTTCATTTCGGAGGGGGCCCGGGCCCCCCCCCCCCCCCCAATACGCCCCTGAAATAAAGTTATTTTTTATTTTATAATTTAGATGCTTTATGTTTATAATGCCTATCAATTCTTAATAAAATTATTTAGTTAAATATTTCGGTCGATTTTTGTATCTTTTGTTATTTTTATAATATAAGTGGTTTTGTAACTTAAAAAAATTGTTCTTCTATGAAAAGGTTGTCGATCCCTGTTCCAGAAACTCATACCTGTAACCTTGGACGAATGTTAATTTTTTTTAGGAATATTTCATATTCTTCATAAATATTTTTTATTATATACGCGTGCTTATAAGGTTTTATTTTCGAGAAAAAAATGTTTGATGATTAACAATTAAAAATTAGAACGGGATATTTCTCATTTTAGAAAATTGAAGGAGCATTGTATTTTGTTTTAATCATTGAATTTGGAATATTTAATAAAACTGATTTATATGGATTGGTTCAATAAAATATTGATATTGGAAATTACATTTTTATTTAATTTTATAGTAGGTACCTACGTAAAAGAATACGAAATGCGTACAATATTAAAAAAAAAAAGTCTTATTTGAATCATGATGTCGTGAAACTTATCAGGATTAAGAAATTTACATACAACAAAATTATTTATTTACATAAATATTCACCATATAATAATCACCTTTATTATTCTCAGTGACTACGATTAAAATGGTTTCGTATTCATACGAAGTAGTAGCAGGGACGGATCCAGAGTCTGGGAACTGTGGGTCAAGCCATTTCAAGAGGCCATTTACTAGGGATGAAACTGAATTAGAAATGAATACCTTGTAAAAAAAAAACACAATATGCTCATAAAAGTGTATAAGTATATTTATATTACATTTTAGAATTAGTGATACCACCGATAATGACTTATTTACGATTAATAAATATAATCTAATTTTATCAGCTCAACAAACGTACGGAATAAAATATGATTTACTTAACTTTTTTCTAAAACGATATAATTTAAAATATAAATTATGAATTGAAGAATTTAAAATTTTTTATATTCATGGTATTCATTTTTCAAGTAACTCCAATGACCCAACTGTCCAAGAGTCCAAATCAAGGTCTAAAAAGAGAAAAAAATTTCCAAGAGACCAATTTTGTCAACAAATATTGACTATTGGTCAGCAGACTCCTTGGACCTCCCCCTAGATCCGCCCCTGCGTAGTAGGTACCCACGCTTCTGTATTGTACGTAAATAAGTGCTTATTTTTTTTTTTTTTAGGGTGGAATTAACCTTTATCGAAATGATTTGGGCTCAAATAATGTACGATAAAATGGTATATACCGTATACCTTTGTTCGTGGTTATCACAATACGGTATTTGCGAGGGGGGCGATTGGTCCTACGCTCTCCCTAAATTATGTGCCTGTAGATGATTACGTAAAATGGTACTGAAATTGAAAAAGCAGTGCTTAAACCGAGTACGAAAACAATTTAAAACGTCATTCAAACGTTTCACGTTGATCCAAAACAGATTCGTATTTCGCCTGTGGGTCCCACGTGGCTCTGTACTAATTTCAATATCTACCGTGTTTTTTTTTCTCTATTTAATTCGCATGGTTGAACATAAAAGTTTTTATTCGTTTTTAGAAATCAATTTATAAGTATAAGTAAAATGTTATAACAACACTTGCTCTTGTAAGGCTTGAATATATTTTTACAGCTGATGCATTTTTTTCAAAATCATTGGCGGTCACCTCGTGATTTTCTCTTTTCACATAGCTTCAAAACTGTCACGAGTCTGCGACGATTAGCACAGGTATAATAATTATTATTGTTTAACTTTATCGAATGTCTTATTGACTACGAACGCTACGATGAGTTGTAGTATTTTTGGAATGAAATAATGACATTTGCGGTTTTCGTTCACTAATATCGAATAATGTACTTGGTTTATTTTGCTTACGTCCTTATAATTGAATTTGTATGAGTTTTTTTGCCTTTATATCCCACTAAAACTTTTATAATGGGCGCCCGTACCCTTGGAAGTAATTATACTTGCCCTCTACCTAGAGACGTATCCAGAAATTTGGCGCCCATTTTTTCCGCATCCCCCCAATCAAAATTATTTAACTTTTTCCATATACTGAGCGCGTCGGAGCTTGCCTTCCAGTAACCACCCGTAGGCCGTTTAACAGCCTTTACGTTATCGTTATCTTTTCAAGAGCCTTATAATTTATTTGTTACATTTTAGTTTTTAATGTATTCACTTTTTGTATTCTCTGATGAAACCAGTTCCCATTGATTATTTAATCAAAAATTTCTATTGAACCATTTTTAGTTATTAGTAAAAGAAAGCACAGTTTAAACTTTAAACATTATGTTATCTCTATAAATTAGTAACAAATATAAAATAGGTTTATTTATTATTTATTATTATTAAAAAACAATATTTACAATTTACTTATATTTTTACGAATTTTAAGAAACTATAATCATTGATTATTTCATCATACTGTAAACTTTTTGTGATGTCTGATTCAATATTTAATATAGTCATTTAGTCGTTCATCGGTTATTCTCGACCGCAAGTAACTTATTTACGTTTTGAAGGAGAGGTTTTTCGTCGAAAATTTTTGTTCCCCCTCCCATGAATACTTCCAATCTTAGAATATTATCTTAGATAAAAAAAAATTAACCAATTTATATTATTGTTCATCAACATGAAATGGGCCGTGTAAAAATCTGATGCCGCTCCAAAAAATATGCTGCCCTAGGTGATTGCCCCCTCTAGCCCCCCTAAATACGTCACTTCCCTTACCCTTAAATCGTTTTACATATTTTTTCGCTGGCGTTGTACAGTGTTTTGTATGTACAGTATGCACGGACAGAAATCCAGTGAAAATGCGTTCTACATGTAACGGACCAAGCCAAGGGGTATCCGACTCGGGGCCCTCGACGCCGTTTTTTTTTTTGGCTCTCCTCCGCAGAAGACCTATAGTAAAAAAAAGTCACAGTGATATTGTACATCAGAATTGTCATAAAGGCATGACTAACAATATAATATTTGTAAGTCGTAACGTGAATAATTTAATATTTAATAATTTAATCTGCGTGCACAATGTAATCGTAACAAGCTTCAAACGATTATGTATGTAAAACTAAAATATCGTTTTTTTTTTGTCGTTATCGGTTCGGAAAATTTTCGATGTAGCAGTAAAAATTATAGTATAGCCGTTTTCAAGACGTTGACTGTGCACTACGAATATATCACTCGTGGACAACTATATGTAGGTTTGGTATTATGTACATGAATATAGAATATGCCGAGACATAAAGCTGCTGACTCGGGCAGCCGCAGGCGCACAGCCCAGGATTTATTTTAGAGAGATGTTTTCGTTATAAAAATTGATATTATGCATATGCATCCCTCTGAGGTCGTTACGGAACTTATATGCATATCATTGTAGTCGATCAGGCCGCAGGGTATAGATTTTTGAACGCCGAAGAATAAAATTGTATCGGTATAAATACGAAATAAAGTCATAAATATCTGCGGGTACCTGAATATAAAAAAGTAAATACTACCTACCTATAATTATTTTTTAATAATTTTTGTTCGTATAAGTCTTATTAAAAAAAAAAAAAAAAAAATGATTACATCGAGAGATAGATTCTTGTCTACGATTTTGATATCAGAGCGTTCGAAGATTTGTAGACCATCGGCATGCAGGATTGGTATAATAACGATTGCCACTATGTCCTTAGCGCTTGTGTAATCATGCAGTACGCGTATCATGCGCTGTATATCGCAAGACGTGCACGACTTAAAAGATCTCTTTGAAACCGTTGTAATTTATTGCTATTTACAGTGTATATAAGTAATATATTAATTAGTGGTGGGCATATCCGGATTTCAAAAATCCGAATTATTCGGATTTGTTAAATCCGAATTTCACGGATTATCCGGATTATTCAACTCGATTTTGCTGTTCAATGACTCATTTTTATATACTAATAATATTTTAATAATATAACGTTTTGTTAAATTTTCATTATAATAAAATAATTTATTTTACCATACATTAAAAATATTTGTAAGTCTGAAGTCACATAAAAAGCAAATCCATAAATCCGGATAATCTGGATAATTCGGGAAATCCGGATAAGAATTTGATTCAAATCCGGATTTGGATATCCGGATATTCGGATAATTCAGATATTCGGATTTCATGCCCATCCCTAATAGTAATAAGTTATTTTTTTTCTAATTTATTTTTATTTTACCTTGACAAAGATCTTATGGAGTTTAAAAAATGTTAATTTATACGTTTTATATATCTATAATTGTAACAAAATTAATACATTTTTACATAGGTATCTTACAAATAGTTTGTGCACTACCCTATGTAAACCTCACTAGCCGATAACCGTCATGGTTATCAATCGGCGGTGAAAAAATAAACGATATTATAGAAAGTTTGACGAATAAGGTTGCTAGGGAAGACCGTACTGTTAGGTATCTCAGGTAACCCTACTCATGGTACAGTATAGTATATGCTATGTTATTGTGTGTGTTTAAATGTTGCACATAAAAGTGGTATTTGGTTAATTATATAATCAAAATTTAGGTTGAGATAATGTACCACGGTTTATTGATATAACACAGTGAACGAACAAGTGATTTATTATAATAATTACTATTCCCTTGCTATAGCTTAAAACTACGCGAATATTTAAAGAAACGAGTCCCTCATTATATCATTATAATTTCAAATTTCTATGTATTACTGAGAACATATCTAATCTATAAAATAATAATCGTTTACTGTCCAAAAAAGGATGTTTCTTAACTTCTGACCTGAAATCTCTACCGTACCGCTACTCCGTTACACTTGCGAGTTATTTGATTTACCTCGCATTTCTGTACAAACGCAGTGGCCGTAAGGAATAAAGTGGGCACTGGGCAGTCGTTGAGAATGGGACCCTTTGTCGCGTATATCTATTAAATGCAATGGTTCAGAGGGAATATATAGTGTTTGTTCGGCTCTCTGTAGCGCGAACAGTTGTTCAGTTTTCGTTCGTGACGGTTATTTAATTCTTGAGACAGAGGAAGATGGAACGCGGGAGAGAGGGAGATCAGAGTACAGCAAACGTTTATCTATTGTATAAGTATACTATATGAACTATTGTTTCAACTTCTCCGATTCGCAATAATGCTCTCTCGCACCTTTCCGGTTTCTGCGGGAGATGCGTTCAAAGACATCCAATGCAAAATTAAAATTTTAATCTAATTAACCTTTTGGTCGTCCGATCTCCGTAAACTAACAGGTTAAATTACACGTGGTTAGGATTTAAAGTGTACAGCGCATGATCGGAAATCATTTTTTTCCCCATACCTTAAAATCTAACTAAGCACTACGAATCGCTTGTGACAGTTTAAAAACCGAAACGACGAATATCTCCGTGCACGTCGATCAGCCGACCTGTAATTGCAACATGAACACATTGTAATGAACCACGACGGTTACATATAACAATTGGGATTACGTGCAGCTTTACGGTAAACGGTATACGGCAATACTTAATGCTTACCTGTTCAATGTTCCAGCACTACGTACAATTGATGTTTTTGCTGAACTTAAAATTATAATATATTGCGGAGAGCAAATGCACATTGTGTTAGTGAACCGTGGGTTGCTCTTCGCATTGAATCGCGCTGTATGGTGATCGGATGTAGGTGAAAACAACCTGTTGATACGGCTAGGACTAGTCTTCAAACGCGTTCGAAATGAATATCCAAAAAAAACTAATGCTAAATAATTACGAGAAATAATTTTTTCAACTCGTCGGGGCTTTCGACTGAGTAGTGCGCAAAGGAAAACGGTGAACTACAGGGGGTAATTCCACTGCGTAAATCAGTCTGAAAATGTCTACCAAGGTCAGAAGTACTATTCGGTCCAGGCTGGATTCGGAATTCAGTCCAAACAGATCACACGTTTTTTTCTAATTCATTTTCTCCGAACCGATCTTGCCCATGCCGTATAATTTAACGCTTCGTGTAACGTTTTAGATGAAAACTGCACGCCATGAAAATAAAAGACAAGAGTCCGGTTCAGCAATTGTCAACTGAATGCTAACGGGTCGATCGTTACGGACGGCTGGAAAACCCCATACGATAGAGGGGAGAAAAAGGAGACCATTGTCGCTGCGGTCCTGTACCGACGTGAAAAATCGTTCGTAAGAAGAAGAATAAGGGAGGACGAAAAACAAAATCCGTTCGCCTGTGCGCCCGGCCATGTCATTGTTCAAAGTTCGCGACTGCTGGTCCACCGAGTGCGGCCGAGGCACGGAGACGTTCGGATGCGACGGCCTGGTGGTGGACGACCTGTTCGGCGCGGGCGAGGACAACGTCATCCTGGGCAGCTTGGACGGTGTGCTCAGGGTGTACGGCATGCACGCCGCGCCGACCGCGGCCGATTTACATTACTCGCCGTCCGATCTGCTGGTCGAGGTGCAAACCGACAGCCCCGTGCTGCAGGTGTGCACCGGAAAGTTCGTCAGGTCGGTAGACAGTCGCGCCGAGCGGAGCATCCGAGTTGGGTCTCGAGTACTAGGGGCTAAACGCAGGTAGTGTATTAGTTGGGTCGCGGATTTTTATAGGTACTACACTAGTTGGGTCCTGAATTATTTTAGGTATTACACTAGTTCCTGAATATTTTTTGGTAAATACTACATTATACTAACTTCCCATTTTAACAGACAATTACAATTTCAAGTAATACAATTTTTAATATTTTTACCAACACAATTCTAATAATTTATATTTTAATAGAAAAGAAACTAAATAAAAAAAAAAAAATATATAAAAAACATTTTTCACCATACCTATGATCTAAATAGATCATAGACAGTCTTAAGTTTGTTAAAATGGAAGGAAAATTTTAGTATAATATAATCTTTACCAAAAAATATTCAAGAACTAGTGTATACCTAAAATAATTCCGGGACCCAACTAGTGTAGTACCTATAAAAATCCGGGACCCAACTAGTGTAGTATCTAAAATATTTCGGGACCCAACTGGTGTAGTAATTTTAAATTCGAAACCCAATTCGGATGCAGCCGCGCCGTGATAACCCGTAAGACTGTTTCGCGCGTCGAAAAACGTTGAACGTTTCCACCGATATCAATTAGTTGTATCCGGATAGTAATGGAATACATTACATTTTGATGTTCAATGGCTCATTCTTATGTTTATATAAGTTTAATTAACGATTTTCGGCTGAGATAAGTTTATTGGGGGTGATATTCAAGTGGTAGGTGTACAAAATTAACTCAATAGTTCAATAACTTATTTTGGTTATTGATAATAAATTGTAAGACAATGTTTACAATGAGTATACTGTAATCCAATTAACGTAATATTAATTTGTTGTTAAATTTTAATTACAATAAAATAATTAATTTTACTATTAATAAAAAATCGTTATAAGTTAAGTAAAAAAATAATCCGGATATTCGGTTTTCATGTCTATACCTAATACAAAAATACAAAATGCTTTATACGATGTAAAAAAAAAAAAAAAAATAAAAGTTTTTGTCGGTGATGTTATTTTATGATAATATGTGCAGAGTAATACGACAGGTTTCGATTTAAAAAAATATCCTGGCGATTCTACACTCGATGAAGATTCTTCCAATCGAAACCGGTTGTACGTTTCTGTTAGTGTTACAATAGTATTTCAGGCAATAATATTTTTTATTTTATATTTTATTTATATCGTCAATATTAAAAAAGGCATAATCATTTTCAATTAATTATTTATAAATTCAATAATTTGAATCAATTTATAAAGCATAGGTCATTGGTTGGCTGTTTTTATTCACGTGCACATGATAATTAATTACAGATTGTAAACTTTATTAACAATAATTAAAAGAAAAAAAAATATTCAATAATACAATTTAGAGACTAATTTTCGAGCATTCACCATTGAATAATATTTATTTTTATTTTTCATATATTTACATTTTAGTTAACAGCACAAATATTGCGATAGAAAAAGTTATCTATTGGTACTGCCTCAAAGTATACGAGCAGTATAAGTATCCCCTGACTTGGGGATTGATTCTCTTTCGTTGTGTTTTTCGGAGCATTTGTTTTTTTTCATCAGTCACTAAACAATTATTGCATATATAACTTGTTCAAAATAATCGGATATGGCTTTCACAAGTAATCAGACCAACACTCGGAATTTTCACCTTTCTCGCTTCTCCCAGTTCTACCTAAATCTTATCTTACATATATGTCCATTGATAAGAATGGAAATGAACAATACATGCACATTTTTACTATTACTTGAAAAAAAAAATATCATAATAATTATTATTATTATTATAATTATTATTATTATTAATATAATTATTATACTTTACGTATTAATTTAAATGGATATTATGGTAAATTAATACACGGAGAAAAATTGTTTCCGAGTTTTATTTATTTTTTCTTAAGTAATAAAACCCATTGAAAAATCCGTTTAAAAGAAAATACTCAACGATAAAATATGTATACATTTTATCCTGTCAGTCATAAAATCTTTTAACGCCCATCCAACCTTAACTATAAACGCTCACCGGAGTTCTATAAAATAATTCCGAATAATTATTTTTTTTCTGCATAGCCGTTCCAAATAAAGTAATAAAAACATTATAAAAAATATCAATACCCTGGCAAAAAGAAAAAAACATACCTACGTTTTACAAAACATAAGTATGTCCTATTATTTTTATATATTTCTTCGACCCGTATGATGCTATAAACTATAATTTTACGTTTAAATGTCGTCAGCTTCACCTGAACCACATAGACCGTTTCGACTTGTATTCCCGAGGGTATTAAACAGTATTGCTAAAGACCCGAAGTTCCGTTGCATTTTATTTTTGATTTGTAGATAAATTAATCGATGCATATTTTACACTACGATGCGTTGGGAGTTATGGTGATTTTAAAAACTTAAAGTTACGTTATTATAGAATTTTTCATTGGCAAAAAGATGTTGGACAGTGTTTTTTTTAATTTTTTTTACTAGCTGACATAAAAAGTTTAGAGAAGTGCCTGAGACGAAAGCGTACGTGAGCTCAAAAAAAAAGTATTCTGATGAGATAAACTTCCGTTTTAAACATGAAATTTACGAACAGATTGTGATTTATATTGTACAATTGCTTAATTATCTCTTTTTCAATATTTATTTACCAAGATATACCCAAGATTTTTAATATATTTTTTAATGTTTTAAATCGTAAAATATTAGAAAACATGTATCGTATGAAGCAGAACCGTTAAAATTTAACATGGTTATTTTATCAATATTATTGAACACTCGAAAATGGAGTTTATACATATATACAGTTGCTGTAGTGTTATTAATCATAACAAAACGACACATATTATAACAGTAAAATGTACGTTTAATTTTATGCTAATATGAAAATCAAAAATAATCATCAACCCCCGAATGTCGAACGCTGTCTTTTAATTACATTATATAATTATAATAAAAAACGCATTCAAATACGGATTACCTATTAATATCACGTTTTTGAATTGATACGAGATTAAATGTTATCCAATTAAAATTATTATGTAATCTGGTATTTAATTGTGAATTTGTTAAAATTCAAGTGGAATAACGAAAAAATATAAACGTTATTATCATAATTCGAATGTTAATACGTGAAACTATGGAATAATTTTTCTTTTTTTTTTACGTTCGTTTCGTTGGTAAATCGGTTTCGTATTATTTTACTTACCTAACCCGCTTAGTAGGCAATAAATGTTTTAGCCGTCGTGACTTATTGCGACCAAGCAATAACGAAAACACGTCGCGGGTCGTTCATTTGACGGTGAGCTTTGAGTTATGAATGGCCGCGTTGGTAATTCCGTACAAACTAACCGTGGATCATACATTTTCCGATTTGTTCTTTGTTAAAATACGAAATAGTTTAATGACTTTATCCGAATAAAAATCCAATACATGCTTGAACTGCAACAGAGAATTGCAGTGAAATTAAAACAATAATGCGTATCATGATTCGTATATACTGATGTTTACGCAACATATTTTGTTTCCTTTTGTTTGCAGACCGAGACGATTCCTATATGTATTGTCATTTTACGAGCACCGTTTAATATTATACGTTTATGTATTATGTTTCTCAGTTGCTCGCCGAACAAGTACATAGCGGTCCTTCATCCGTTTTCATTAGTCGTGCATGGAGTCAACCGTATCGCTGGATCTACAGATCATGGTACGTCTGGAGAGTATATATCAATATAGTATTATGTTACTGCGCGGTTTACGGCATATGTTGTTTAAGCGAAGCCAAACAAATAAGTATAAAATCTTCAAACGAATTCAAACTGAATAAGTAAAAAAATTGTAAAAACGAAAATTTGATTCACCGAACTCATGCTAGGTACGTGTATAACAAATCAAAATACAGTTTTGTTAATTTCGGATTTTTTCCTCATAAGAATACGTAATAAAAAGATTTTATTTTTATTTTTATTTAGATCATATTTACTTAAATACCTATTTTGCGTGTGGTCTATTACGTACTGATGTGCTTTTTTTTATTAGATATTTCTTGAGCTAAATGAAAAAATTAAACAATATTTCAAACTATAAATTGCGTGTTAATCAATATTTTTAATTTAAATATTCATTAAGCGCGTAAAGTGTTTGCGTGTAATTTAATTCTCTTGCCGTGACTAAAGAGTTTCTTTATGCGTCGAGTAAGCTTTTAAGTTGGTGTTACATAGAATGTGGTTTTACGTATTTTATAATAAATTCTAAATGCCGATAAACTATAATTTTCAAGTATCAAGTAAACACACTTTGATTGTTTTGCACTTCAAAAATCAGTAAAATGAAATTACATTATTTACTATGTGATGTTTGGCAATACTAAAAAGTGTATCCAATAAATTCAGTACATTTATTGTAGGAATAAATTATTAAAACGTATTATATTTTTTATTATATAATCATCAATTTTTTTATGCGCAGTTTATTCTATAAAGCCGCGAACAGATTTTATTTTACAAATCATATTTGGTTCTATTCAAATATACTATACGTTTTGTTTTTGCTTAACGTTGCACGTTAAATTATGTATGGTCATTTATTTAAAGTAAAGATAAACTTTTAATCTTTGATTATTCAAATCGTACACTTAAAATGATCTTAATCAACAGGTGTGCTCTTGGATTTTATTCAGAAACCGTTCGAGATCGTACGTTATCCAAACAAATCAGTATAATAAGTTCGACTGTTTGCGTGCAATACTCGCCTGTCGAATTCGAATCCGAATACCGTTACATTCTTGTTTGTAAGGCTCATCTACATAACACATTGTTGATTGATTTTCGTGATTTCGAAAGAAAACTAACAAACCTTAAACTCTCTTAAAAAAAAAAAAAACCGTCGTCATCAGTTGTCTTATTAATGCAAAGCGTCAGTATTATACTTTTGTGGCCTTTACTGTGGATCGTCGTGGACCTCGTAGACCAATTTTACTCGCTCGTACCGACGCACACTGCGCAAACACATTATACAGGCGACTCTTGATAACTCGAACCTTGATAACTCGAAATTCTCGGTACCTCGAATAATTAAAATCACTCATCAAATAACAATAACACTTAATGTTTAAATAATCTTGTTAAACCGAAAATTAACTTGACAGGTTTTCGATGTATCGAATTTTCTTAACCAAATTTAGTACTAAAAATTGTTTACCAAGGCGATTATTTTTCGCTTATGACTTGTATTGTAATCAACACGTAAAAAAAGAAACGATCGTAAACTGTTTTACAAAATCAGGTTTTAGAAATTTGACCGTTTTATCGACAGTCCGTTTCGATATTTTTTCGTAGGCGATCAGTACGTGTTGGAAACGATGTACGAGCACAAATTCGAGCGGAGTGCCTATCAAGTTATCGCGGGCCCTTTCGGTGGCGGGACGGGCAGCAGAGATTTCTTGTGCGTGATGTCGTTGGACGGCGCTGTTTCGGTGTACGAGCAACAGGCGTTCGGTTTTCGTACGGCCCTGCCCAATTACTTGCACCCGTTCCCTATGAAGTACGTTCGATCTGCGGACGCATTCATTACGTTAAACGCTGACTTCTGTCTGGTCTGTTACAAGTAAGTATGATGAAAAATATATTAGCGAGAGAGAGAGAGAGAGAAAGAGTGAGATGAGTTAATCATTTTTTTTAGATAGTTTTAAAAATTATTTCACCATAATACGGCTATTTATATCCCTGACAATCGTATTAGTAGATTTTTGAGAAAAACGAAAAATTAAAAATTAAATTTATAAATTTCATTAAAAATTTGATTCAATGCTGGGAATGATTTTTTTCTCGCAGTTTACACGTTTAAAATTTTAACGGGTGCCCTTCAAGAAGCTGCTACAAATAATCTTTTAAGTTTGCAATGCAATTTAGACGAACAATAAAGAACAAAGATATGTTTAAATACATTTCAAAAGTAATTTAACAGTGGTTCCGTGTCATTTCCACAAGCAGAATTTATGATATTTCTTAGAAAAATTTTTTCACGTGAACAACGTTATTTTAATAATAATTATTAATAATCGTTCAGAATAAATTAATGTTTGCAATACGGGTAGAACAGTTCTATTTTTGTTATATATTTTCTATAAATAAAGATTCATTGGTAACAAAAGTAACTACCACAGAATAAATTAAATCAGAATGGTCACTTTTAAATGTAAACAAAATTCAGCTACCATATTTTTGGAGTACTAATTACTTATCACATTAAAAGTGATAACATTTATTCTGTAATCGTTTTGAAAACAATGACGTGCATGTGCTTCATAGTTATTATATTGACTCTATAAATATTGTGTATTAAACCTTGTTAATTTCTATATAAATAATTCTCGTATTTATTGTACATCAAAAAAAGTTATTTATTTATTTATAATGGGAGGAGTGAAGTGTGCTGTGAAAGGATGTAAAAATTCAATGAAAATTATTATTGGCATAGTTTTATCACAGAATAAATTAAAATTATTCCGTTTTACAATATTACTAGTAGCAAACTGGCGTATATTTAATGAATTTAAATGATGAATTGAAATATAATATTAAATTTCAATAATTGATTCCATTCCAGTTTCAACTGTATTTCTGTTCATTCTTCAATAGTGTTTAGTTATTTTAGTGATGTTTGATGATATGGAAGAAGCATTATTGTGGTTTACCATAATGTTCCTAATACGAGTGCAGCAGAATTTCGTAGATCAGACATGTTCGCAAGAAAACAAAAAATACCATACGAATCAAATTTTATATTATTTATTAAATATTATAGGTTAATATACCTACTAATAGTAGGTCCTACTATAATATATTATAATTATTAAAAACAAAAAACCGAAATTAAGTTGTTAAAACTATTAAGTAAAGGAGAAAATTAAACCTAAAAAGGACGAAAAGTTGTTCTATACACCAATTTTGTATTTACATGTGACGACATGTCGTTCAACTTCGCGTAAAATGAATCCGCGCCCATCAGTCTTTTGATCCAATCTTGGATTTCATTCCGATTCTATAAAACGTACGATTTACTGTAAACACGCTCCGTTTTACTTGATACGATTAGTCGTGTTCGATAAAACGTACAATAAGTCGTTGCGTGTAAACCGGCCTTAAAAGTAATTTGAAAAGAGAACAAAAATATTTTTTGAAATGAAACAAATGTAGTTATTCCTTTTTGACCACTGTTAAAATTTGTTTATAAAAGGATAAGTTATTTTTAGCTTGGGAAAAACAAGATAAAATACTGGTAAATTTAAAAATATAGAATTTAATTGTATTATTTTGTTGAAATTTGTTTGAGTGTTTCTTTTTTTCTTTGATATAGTGATATTTTAAAACATTAAAAGTGTTTGAGTATAATTGTTCTTCGAAAAAGTTGTGAATTTTGTCTTAATTCCTTTTACCCGGAGACCGTCGGATTATTCTGATAGAAACGTTTCAAATTCAATAACTGAACATATATTATATAAATATCAATAACTTTTCATAAGATGTATGTATCGAAAATATTAAAAATAAGTATTTTATAAATAGTTTTTATATTTTAAAAAGTTTTATTTTATGTAACATATTGGTATAAAACAATTTATTGACACATAAATACTCGTACTATATTTTGAGTTAAATAGCTTAGTTTTAAATTTGATATACATTTAAATTTTGCTATCAATCAAAAGTTATCGATGAAACTGTAAAATTCCAGTTCCACATGGATATCAAAATTATATCAGGCCTCCTACAATGTTTGATAGATCGTACTAGTATAATATTTAGTGCGTTCATTTGTCTTTGGAAGTAGCATTTAAATATTATTGAAATCACTACATTTAAAAAAATTAAATTATAAATTTTATTGGTTGTCATTTGATTCTAAACAGTATATTATATAGTTGATCAAAATTGACTCTAATATGTCCATTATCTTACTATTTTGTAAGCGTACATGATAATCGTTATCCTTACGTAAGATCTAGATCTGAATTTTTTAAAACTTTACCCGATGCCTCGTAGGAAACGATTTATAAATATTTAAAGTTTAGATAAGTGCTGTAGCGCACCGATAATTCCCGAGATATTCCCTCTCATACAGCCATTACACTCCACTCGTCAAAACTTAAGTAATCAAAATGTGTCAATAATTAACTACAGGCTCTTAGACTCTTTAATTTGAAAAATTAAAAAGCATTGATAAAATAGTAAATTTAATGACATTATTTTTCCCGTCAAAACTTTAGTGTAGAGTTATAATAAAATTAAATGTCAAAAATAAAATATTTTTTCAAAACATATGAATAGTCCATGTAATCCGAGTAAAAAATAAATAAACTCCCATGGAAGTACGTATGCATACCATATCGTTGGTTTCGAATTTTTTCAAAACATCCGAGACTCAACCAACCCGGAAAACCTCAGGTTTTAACAAGAAAGTGGGTTTAATGGGTCTTTTTTTTCTATTGCAGTGTACGCTGAAAGGTTTTTTTTTTACAGTAATTCGAAAATCTGTGATCATCGAACACGGACAGTACATATAAACTCGAAGTTTTCCTCTGTTTCTTTCTCTCTCTAAAACACGGTTTTCTCGTGTGCACAGTTACGTTTCGATGTTCGTAGCGCACAACCGGTGTAACGTTTTTTTGAACAATTAAAACTTTACGGAAATAAAATATTAAAAAAAGGTCAAGTATGCATTCGTACACGCGCACGCATACACACACACACACACACACACACACACACACACACACACACACACACACACACACACACACACACACACACACACACACACACACACACACACACGCACGCACGCACACACATATACATATAATGTACTACATGCATTCTTTAGGTACCAGGAGCTAGCGGACCCGAGTCAGAAACAAAAGTGTCCCGTTTGGTCGTGTACATTGGGAGAAACGGTGTGCGATATTCAGACGGCAGAAATAACACCATCTGCGACTACAATACACGTACTGGGCGAACGGAACTACTATTGTTTTCAAGGCAACGGTGTGCTATGGTTTACGAAACGGCTACAGTACACTCCTTGCTGTTTCCACCCTTATATTTTAGGTAATCATAGGGTTTTCACAAACTACTTATTATAATATTGTTCTCGAGTTCGCATCACAATAAATTTACGTGTTCATAGAATTTGAAAATTACGTTATTTCAATCGGTAATGTATTTAAATTTTTTTCAACGGGGGGAGGGGTATGTATTTGATAATATTTAATTAGCTGAAGAAGATTTCACACTCTTACCCTTTATCATCTTTGTATTTCTCAAAAATAAAGCGATTAATACTAATATTACATACATAAACTGATTAAACTCATTTTTCCAAAAGAATAGTAACGACTGATTTAGCATAAAAAATCAGTAACCAAATCTTTTATATTATAAAACACATTTTGTAACTTTTGTTTTATATTTCAAATATTTTTATTTTACGTTTATTGTAATACATGTAATACTAATTTCCTTCTTTTTCGATGTAGCTCATCAATGACCTTATCCAATGAAACTCTTCGATGAATGAGAATTAAGCCGACCTATTTAGTCTACTAATCTCAAAATGTAAATATCTATTACTATAGTGTAATTCAATTTTGATAAATATTAAAGAAGGATAAAATATTTATTTATTTTTTACTTTATCTCAGAACGACTTAATCTTTTTTAAGAAAGAAAATTGTCGTTCCGGAGTTTTAGTAGACACTAGAGATTTTGAGAAGCATGAGAATACTGGGATAACATTTACTATCACAAGTGTCTAAAATGTGCGATCCTGAGAGAAGAATTATGTTTGCCGTAGTTATTTTATGTTACATATTCAATTCATTAATGCTAGTAAAGAAATTAATTGTAAGCAAATAAGAATCAACTAGATTTTTAAATTAATATTTTTTTTTGATCTTTTAACAATAGTGATTCTTGTTTAAAAATACAATTAAATCCTAAATATATAAATATTATGTATGGAATTAAATTTTTTGCACAAAAAGTTGCATAATTCAATACCTTCAAATATTGTTTTATGGTTAATAAACATTGAAATCAGTTGTATTATACAAAAATCAATGTTTGGTGAAAATACTGTGACACAATAGTAATGTTCAATAGAACAATCCCAAATATTTGGATTAGCCTAATGGATTTGTTTAGAATTACGTTCAGTACGCGTTCACCTGTGAAATGTGTTAAAAATAACGGGCGTTTAAACGTCAAATTCTTATCAACGTATTTCTTCTATTAGATTGTCTTAAAAATATGATATTCCTTATTGTAAATATGAATCTTCCCCCTCCCTTAATATGTCACCGATTTAAATAATTATTATTATCGTTCAAGACTCGTATTTATTCCGAAACCAAACGGTTTTATGTACATATTATTCGTCTACATAATGTATTACGCACCTTATTTGTGTACTCGTTAAACCGCGCATTGTTTACGGTCTTACACTACGTGTAAGTATAGTTACATAGGTACACGCGCGTTGTATGTTTAATCGTGTTTTAGCCGATTTTAAACGAATAATTGCCATGCATTGGTCGACGATGGTCGGACCGTTTTTTGGTATATATATATATATATATATTTGTTTTCTTGCTTCTGAAAATTTCAAACACACCGTTTCATTGACTTAGTTTTAGCAGAAGAAAAAATGTACAAACCGTGTAATTTGGGATTCTCGAAAAATTCAATCAGGACCAGACCTCGCGTGGACTGGATGTGGAAAACGGTGTTTAACGGAAAAATGATGAAAAATAGTTTTATTTTAAAATGAAATCATAACAAAAAAAATGCTATTACATTTTTCACAAATTATTAATTATTACTTTATACAAATAAAATAAACAGTATTGTAGTTGTGTGTTTCATATACTTGTTAAGTATTAAATTGTATCGAACAAAGTATTTTTCACATGTAGTGGAATGTGTTTGAATCGCACCGATTTCACAAAGTCAAATATATGGGTACTTTTATTAAATTTGGTCTTTAAAATGTTCCTTTTTCGAGATTTTACATCGACTCGGGTTTACTATCAAATTAATGCATCTATATTGAAGGTTGTCTCTTCGGGTAGACGCGAGACTCTCTTACTGTACACATTTATGACACAAGTGTCTACGACATTATTTACCAATTTAATTTAGTTAAAACTGTAATATTGCACAACTAACGGTATACTCGTATATTTGTTTTCGTTTACCCGTAACAATATCACATAAAAATGTATACAGTTTCTGTTTTTTTTCTCTTTTTTTATTTAGGCGATCACTCCGAAGTTAAAACCATGTGTATGATCGTATCTGATACCGATACTGTTCTAATATACGAACAAACGAAACTTCGATGGTCGGCTAAGCTGTTTTACCGTCCGTGTATCATTGCCAGAGCATCTTTTAAAGTACGTATTTGATATTTTCGTCCATGGGGGGAGGAAATCATTATCTATGCCGGGCTATCTGTCCCGTTTAAACTTAATTCGTATTGTTTGTATTACACGGCAGGCGTTACAAGGCTGTTTGGTACTGTTGTCGGAGACAGGCGATTTGAGGTTTTGTTATTTGGGCACCGAACCCATGATATTTATGGCTCCCGAAAGACCGCCCGAAGACTATAAAGACACTAAGAACCAGCTAGTTCAGTTGAAAAAAGAACTGCAGAACATGTCATTACGAGACGGTGATTGTTCTACTTTATTGCGTTGTTGATTTTAATTTTTTCATGCATACAAGGTCATTGAAAAGACTATAATTTTTTGTGGTAAAAATGTTTTGGATTACGATTGAACCCGTTATAGAATTTCGATAAATTGTAATATTTGAATTACAACAATTTGATGTTAGTGTTAATATAAGTTATGTTCGCGGGTGAGTTAAATTTTAAAATTATAATGAAAAACATAAAAAAAAAGTACGCAAAAAGTTTGTATGAGTTTGGATGGAGCAATTTTTTTATAGCCATAAAGAAATATTAACAGATCTTCAAAATAAAATAATCAAATGTTTCTTTGTTTCAAATCAAAGATATTTTAGTATTTTCAGATACTTTTCTAGCTTAAAAAGTTATTGTTTTAACATTTTAATAACATGGTGCTTAATTGTGTTCCAATAGTGATTTCAATGATCTCAGTTAATCACTGACATATAAGGTTTAAAGATTAACTCATAACATCAATGATAACAACCGGTAGTGTAGCCAGAAAAATATTTTTTTGGGGGTCCTAAATTTTCAATTTTCTCAAATATAAGTACCGACATTTTAATTTAATAAGTCGATTAAACATAAGTTAAATTATAAATTTTGTAATTATTTAGTTTATTGAAACTATGAAAATTGATCAATGTTGACATGATATTACATTATACTTTTGTTTTAAAATTGATTCTATATAATAGATTCTATATAAAAAAATAAGAGAGATATTTCGGAAATATTAAGTCGTTAACCTCCCTCACCCTGGCTACGTCACTGATAAGAACAGTATTGTGTTGTTTTAAATTATTCTATTAGTTTTTCGGTTTATTATTATCCATAAATAATCATAATAATATAGATAATTGCATATTAATTACTCATATATGTTGTAGTAATAATTATGAAAGAAAATAGAAAGATAGCACATTATATTCACACGTTACCCGAATAAAAGTAAAATAATATATTTTCATTACCAATTGAATATGTTAAATCAGAAATAAAATGTTTATAACGCATACTGAGTATATTCATAGTTTTATAGGAAAACATTTATAAATTATTATATCCGTATCGCATTCATTCGTATGTTCCAATGAAAACAATTAAGAAAAAATAAAATTAAAAAATAACTTTTACGTTTAATATTTTTAATGATAATTTTTGCTTTCGTTTTAAGAGGCCGATACTCTACCGTTATTGAAATTGAACACTCGTATTCTGAGCGTACGTTCAGAAGGCCCGCGGAAATTGTGTAACGTCGAAGTAGACGTGACGCCATCTCTAGCCATATCCACGGTGCAAATTACATTTCAAACGATCACTCCACTTGTCATCTTACCAAAGGTTGTACATTTAAAAGACTTGAGTAAGTATGAAAATATGTTGTATTAACATAGAATTTGTAAGATTAAATCTTATTAAAAAAAAAAAAACCTATCCTGTGTAGCATGACAACAAGATATTTTATAATAAGAAATTAATTAAAACATAGAAAATTACGTATAGGCCAATCACAATAGGTATACAGGTCGGAACAAAAATATTTTAATTGAAATATTCAACATTGGCTTCGATCGTTCATAAATAAACTCTACATTTTTTTAAATCGGTGAAACATTTGAATTTAGTAACATGTTGAATTCTGTTATCAGTGTATCTATCATAAATCATTATTTGCTCTTTCTACCAGTACCGGATCTAGAAAATTTATATTTAAAAGTTTTTAATTTTCCAGAAACTTCTGAGCGTCTTGGAGCAAGAATACCCACTTTCCCTCTCCTATATCCGGAATTGTTCTTAATTTATACAACCCTCATCATTTTGACCACTAAACATGATATTTTGTAAATTTTAAAAATATTATTTTTTCATAGTTTACCTATTATTAGTTCTATAAATACAATTTTTGTTAAATAGATTTTTAAAGATCATAACCGGAATCGTACAACCAGGACCAAAATAAAAATTTATATTCATTGTTGAACTGATAAAAATTTTTTTTTACTGAAATCGAACCTAATTAAAATAGTTATAACTTAAACGTGGATCGGATGGAACACAATAATGAGCCGTGATTAACCGATCCGAGAATTATATTTATACGTTAAGACCTGACTAAACTGGACCATAATCAGGTAAAATCCGGACTATACCGGTATAAACCGGATCACTAGTTACTAAGTACAAGGATTGGTTATGTAACCCAAAATTTCTAGTTGTATGTTTTCAACTACACTCTTCATTCTGTTCTTAAATTCTTTACTAGAATAACTATATTAAAAATGTTTAAACTATCGTCTTACTCAACAATAAAGATTCTGTTATCTAAAAAAATTACAAGCATATATTAAAAATACAAAAAAATAAAAAAGTACGAAAGGCAGTGAGCTCTATCCGTTTCTGTCTATACACCATGTGTATCTTAATGTATATTAATCAATCATGATTATTTTTTCATTTTGTGCAACGGATTACTTGTATTAAAAAAAAATAAAAAAAAAAATAAAAGAAATCCCAATTGCGATTCCAATGTCCAGTGACGACAATTTAAGCCATGCAAAACTTTTGTAAATCCTCTGTATTGTTGCCATGTTATATATATAAAAAAAAAAAAACTCTCAAACATTTTTAGTCGAGTAAAAAAAAGAAGTAAAAGTAAACCTTTACCAAAGTAATTCCCGTATCTTTCATCCGACGTTTCTACTGCGGTTAGCTCAATTCGAGCTTTTCAGTTTTAAGAAGTTTCAATAATCCTCTTGATTTGTAGTGGTAGTAGTAGTAGTAGTAGTACGTGGTGCTTAGATTTTGAAGTTCGGTCGGCTATTAGATGACACGTGGTTCAAAAACAGAATTAATATTAAACCCATACACGGATACACGTACACGAGCGACGAGATAGACGTCGTAAGATAATTTTATCGTGTAGACATCATATTTGCAAATCATTCTTAAGCATTTTTTTTTTTAATTTTTAATTTGTCAAACGTACACATATGTATATATATATACGTATGTATTACAACAATAATAAGTGAAACCAAACACGATCGTATGGTTAAACCGCAATGCGTGCACCGATGTTGTTATAGCCGAGACCATGACGATCCGAGCGTTGGCGCACAGGGACGACGACGACTCTGAGTCCGTGGTTTCGTCGATGGAGTGCACGACGTACGCGTATTACTCAACGGCGTCGGACGAGCTGGGCGTGGTGCAGCAGATCGTGCGGCTACCCCTTTCGCTGGCCTACGAATCGCACCCGACGCCACCGTCGGACTTCAGTTGGTCGGCCAAGATCGTGGTCGACGAGACCCCGGTAGCCCTGAGGACGCTGTTCAACGGTACGTCACGACCAAACAACGCGCACGCCGATGATTGTTTTACTTTTCGCGTCTTCTCGCGCACGTCCGACCAACGCAATCGCAGTCGTTTTCAACGCGTTCCGAGACGGTTTTCAGACGTTTTCAAAACATTATTACTTCTTTTTCTTTTTCGCCTATTTCCCAACTATTTGGGGTTGGCCGTCCTTGTCCGAAATCTTCATTCATACATCCCCTACGTTTACACTGACAGTCCTCGTATCGTTCTCAATCGTATCTAACCATCTATTTTTTGGTCTTCCTCTTTTCCCTTCGACGTTCGTTTTCATAACAACTCCTACCGAATTGGTTTCATCTCGCTCGTCGCATGCCCAACAAATTGAAAAAATAATTTTTAACACATTATTATTATTATTATTATTTTACAAGACTTTTCGGATGGATGAAATGCGGGAGAAAAACTGAAAATAATTTTTTCATGCGCAGTGTTCCAACACTAACACGGGTACTTTTTAACGGTACATAATAATCTACAACTTTGAAATTTCAATAGAAGTTCTGTTTCATGCCGTTGATTTCATCAGGTTTTCAATTCCATAAAAACATTTATGAAATGACGTTTTTTTTTACTGTACACCAAGAGTGTTTACATAACATTTTACTCGGCCCGAGCACGTTTTTGTTTGATTATACACTTTTAGTTTATCCACTCTCCGTTAACACCAAACAAATATTTCGATGTCGCACTATGAGGTACGATTATCGTAATATATTTTTTCTTTAATAATATTAATCGTAGTTGTTCTGGACTTCTGCTGTATAGTAGATATTTTAGATACTATTTGTGGTGTGTATATGTGGAAAAGAGAGCGAGAGGTATGTTACATGACCGTATGCAGATAATGGATAAAGGTATCATCTATATGATTTAGTTATGTGAGAAGTTAGTTAGTTGCAAAATAGTGCAGTTTATATTTATATTTATTGAAGTGTTATCTTGGACAAGCCGAGGGTGAATCATAGATCACGAACGCTTGTTTAAAAAATTAACTAATTAGTACACGAAAATCAGGGTTAGTCTCGGTCATTGGTATACGGTTCAATGGCTTTTGAGTCGGAATCAGATAATATTCGAATTTTATTCGCGTCTGAAAACAAATAAACAATATGGCGATTTGACGGTGAACGGTCGATAAAAGTTATATTATTCCAGTAGTTATAACAAAAACATTATTACGTTCGCTACTCTTAACCTTCACGAATTTGATGATAGTGTTCTATTAAAACGCATTGCCACAATGTGTACATTGTTTCATATATTTCGGTATATTGTTAAAAAATAAACGGAGATTTTCATCATTTATTCGAATGTTTAATGTAAAACGCAAATTATAAAACCTTAGTTTTTTTTATATAAAACGGATTTTAATTAGAATATTAATTTTTTTAAACATATTACTACAAAGTAAATATTTTATATAAAAATCGATTTAATTAGGTGTAATTAACAATTATACCAGTTAATTTAACTTTAACTTAAATTAAAAGCTACACGAATGTCATTTGGTAGCATGTTATGTCATAATATGTCAAGTTTTCTCGACATTTAAGTATTAAATTATAATACGGTGAAATATAATTACAATAGTGATTTATTATGAGTAGTAAAAATTATAAATATAATGAGCTTTGTAATAATTTAATAATTGATAACGATGTAATACTATTGATATGAAAAACATGCAAAATATGATAAATATGAGTAATATAAAATGTGATCAATATTTACAATTGATTTTACTATTACGACATTCAACGAATATAATATGTATTAATTAGATCTTGAATGTGATTTAGAAGTAGAATAATGGTTTTTCTCCTTCTTCAATTATTTTTTTTTATAATAACTATCACGCAAAAAGTTGATAAGTCAGTGTTGAATACTGGGATCAGATTGTATTATTACCGTTATTAGTAGTTATTTTCGTAATTTTACATTTTAAATGAAAAATTAAATATTTTTTTTCTCTACTCAAGTATATTATAAAAACGAAGAAGAACGTGAGCAACGTCATTTTCGCGTTAGTTACTTATTATTAAACGAGTAAAGTGCTCTTTGACTTGTGAAATGAAAGATCTCCGTCTCCTCCGTGTCATGGCATAGCACACACAACTCGAGCGTGCTAGTTATAATTAAAAAAGAAAAATTTACTTATGGGTGTCAAATGAATCACATTATACATTTTTGTTGCTGAATTGTTTTTCGCGCAGAGTTCGTTGATTCATCACCATCGGAATTGTGTTTTCGAGCAATTCCGGGTTTTAATGCGAAATACGTCTGGGTTACCGCGGTACCTGCAATCCGCTCTTATGAAATACGGTCATCGGGTTCCGAGTATGCGAATGTCGTTTTCGAAGAGATTTTGTTCAGGTGTGTTAAACTCGTGACAGCGTATTAAGAGGATGTGATATTAAAAAAAAAGGAGAACATTATTTATGATGCAATGTGTTTGATTTACCGATAGTTTATTTCAATATTTTTTTTCCCTAAATAAAAAAAACATAAAACTCAACAAATTTTAACATATTATAGGATACATTAGAATCCAGTTATTTTTACGGAACAATAAAAACATTTCATCGTCGATAATGTTCATTTATTTATATTAAAATCAAATTAACAACAGTGTGTCCATTATAAATGTACACTGTGTTATGATTTTGTTTTTCACAGAAAAGTATTTTTAAGATTGAAAATGACGAGTGTAATACGTCCTCCTAATACAAATATTCTACTAGAGAATGGCTTAATATCGTGTTTGAAAAAATAAAATTTATTTTTACTCTTAGGCATAAGGAATACTATAAGAGTAAAGCATGTACCGTGCGCTGTGATAAAAACGAAATTCTCGTCGCAGAATTGTACAGGATAATCGAGGAACATGTGGTGCTCAAAGAAAAGCTCCAGTTCGTAGAGGTAAATTAAAATATTTTTAATTTTCATAAGTACACTCGTTTTATGATAATCAAGGTGCATATCACACTCAACAGAGTTGAGTTTTTGTACTACAACTGACATAATAAGATGCTTATCGGTGTTCAGTCATGTGATCACGAACGTGTAAGATTCTTTTATTCCAGATTGATAGTCGATAAAATGGAAAAGTCACGAATAAGAGAAGAATGTATGGAAATTACATTTTTATTTATTTATTTATTTATTTTTGTTAACTCATTTTTGGGCAGTAAGTATTCTCCAAAATATCTCATAAGTATAGTAATAATATGCGGTACTTCAAAAAGGTTATACATTTCTATACAATAGTTCTCCGAGACAGTTCTAATATAAAGCAATAACTGAAAATAATATTGAATAACATTGTAGTCAAGTGTATGTATATGTATTTTGTTCTTTTGATAAAATAAGTAATTTTGTGTTACGGCGTAAACATCGTTTGTCGTCATGAATGTACCCAAATTGCCTATACGAAGCGCCGTTATTATTCTTTGTTGACTGACGTAAAAAACGACCAATAGTTTAGTCCACATCCTTTGTACCTCGACGATAAATTAATAAAAGTAAAATTAATCAACGGATTGAATTTCGTGTAACTAAAGGGATAAAAATAATTTATTATGTGATGCGCATTGGTTTATAAAAATAGTTAAATTATTGATAAAATATTCTATATTATGTGTTAAAACTTTTGTAGAACAATAAGACATAATATTGTAACTATAAAAATAATAGATATAAACTGTAATTTGATAAGTTCACTGTATATTGAAATTTTTTTTTAGGATGAAACGTCGTTATTATGTTCACAATATCGAGTTATACAAAAATGCTTGTTTAACAAACTTAAAGAAAACACTGTGCAATCAGTATCCGGACTTAGCATATTGATTGATGATACGCATGAATCATTAATGGAGAAAACTTCTGAAACAAAATTAATCCAAAAGGTGGGTGGCGCTGGAGTGTGTAAAGTGTAAACATTTATTTACGTTCTAATCGTATTTTTCTAGGAATTGAAAGTTAAATTTTCCGATTTATTGTCTGTAACGAGGTTATTGGTGAATATGCTCAGTTTGTGTTCTAAAAATGATACAATTCTTGAAGAATTCAAAGAAACAGTTGTATACTCGACCGAAAACCAAGTAAGATTATTGTAACGTTCTTCGTGATAAATTATTATTTTATAATTAGGTTTATTTTATGAAGGTTTCTATTTAATCCATTTTTTTTTTTTTATATTACTACACTTATTTTTAAAACAAAAATTTGCATGTAAACAAAATTGAAATATAAAAATAATAAACATTTATTTTTTATTTTTGACTAAATAAAAACATTTAAAAACCGATATAAATTTAAATATTTCGATGATTAATACAAATTAATTTGAAAATTATTAATATATAAGAAATAAACAAATAGTTTGTAAATAAAACTAAATAAATAAATGTTCAGCCTGTGGAATATTATATTATATTTGTAATTTAAGACCAGTTCCGAATTGAAAATTCATCGTCATGTTTGTAAAAATTGAATTAAATTGCGACTCAGTAGAAGTTTAAAAATATAACAACACTTCAGTCTAAGGATTTATTTATTTATTTTTATATATATTAACTGTTTGTTTATTTATCATATTTATAAATTAATTTACGATTCTTAACCATTAAATCATTTTTAATATTTATTTAATTTTTATTATTTTATTGTGACCAACTATTGTTATAATTACTGTTATTTATATCTTCGAAATTATATTAAGCCCCACTGAGAAGGCTCGTGTGAGGATTTAAATTGTTGAATAGATAAATGAAATCACAAACTATTTAAACGTTCATTGTTATTAGTCTATAGTCATACTTGCAATCATCGTAACTACGATATTTTGATTGAGAAATATAAATTTGTACGCTAGTGAAGATGATAATATCCTTAGTAAAATTTGCATATGGTTACAATATGAGGTAACAACTTTTAAAATAAAATTCACTCAGGCGTTTGCTTTGAACGATTTGCGAGCATTTATTCGTTTAAACGTTGCACGACGTTTTAATAATACTACATAGTAATAAGTACACAGATCAAATTTTATTGAAAACGTGTCTTATTACTCAGAGTTGTAGTATTAAATAAATTTCAGGTTTTGAGCCGTGAGCTCGTCGATTTATTATTTTTTTACGTTTTGTTATAAATAATACCTTATTTATCTTTCAGAACGAATATTATAATTATAATAATAATAATAATACATACTTATTTTTGAATGATTCAATGAGTGTTATTTTCATCACATTATAACTCTGCTGTGTATATGTAGATGTTATAATAATAAAAAAATATTACATGAATATAAGATTTATGAAATTTGAGAAGAATAAATTCTTCTTTACATTTTTTACATAGAAATGTTATAGCAGACAGACACACATACGTACATTATAATATTTTATTGTATGCGTAAATCATAAATATAATTTAGTTACGATAAATATTACAATATTGTTATTTTGCATGAACAGAATTGGGAAGATATAGTTTTACAATCGTTGAGTTATTTGATCGGTAACAAAATTACGCTGAACGTCCATAACGATGTACCAGCACATCTTATTATGAGCTTAAAAACATTAATTGATTTTGAAATAAAACGCATAACGACTGTCAATGATGAAGTACCGAATAAATTGAAAATAGAAAATTCACGAGGTACGTTGACACTCGTGTATTTACATACATTTTATCATAATTATTATTATGATTATTATTACATTACTCATACGCTTTATTTAAATAATTTAAATAAATATATTCATTCCTTAGTGCATTACATTGTATCGATTTTAAATATGGGCATGTTATCGTTATTTCAAAAAATAATAACACCATTAGTATAGAATATACTTTTAAATTATTTATTTCTTTTGCATTAAATTGTATGTTAAACAATTAACATTACTCTTACACATTTTGCTTATATTATCTTGTCACTTAGTTTACTCATTTATATTAATAATTCGAAAAACTAAGCTGGTGTACTTTTAAAAATTATAATTTTTCATTTAACCCAGCTGAATAGCACATTGTTATCGTATTTTCCAAACAAATTTGGTTTTTAATTTTTAAATTTTTCAGGAGCTGTATCGCCTATTCCAGAGTCCGAAGAAGATTTCTACACTTAACTAGATCTAAATATAAATAATATATAAAATATGAATTACGCGTCAACAATATTCTTATTGCGTTAAAAAAAGATTTATGTCACGAAATAACGTTGAGTGTATGATGAAAACGATACGTGCTTCTGTTTTTGTATAGTATGCGTTTACTTATTTTTTATTATTTTGTGTGAATTATATTTGCGTAATTGAGTTTTGCATAATTAAAATGTAACAAGTTTTGTTGCAACGAAACGAATTGAACTGATGTATTTTAATCTCAATCGTGTACGCTCAAAAACAGTACGACTCGACATTAATTATGAATACACCGGTACTCGAACCCGTTCGACAGTATTATTTATCGTTTGTAAACTACCCACAGTAATATCGAACGTTATTCGTTAGTAATTATAACGATGAGTTCGTATTTTATTATTGATAAAAATCAAAGACACATGGCACGAGGAATTTTTTATTTTGACAGCGACGACTGTTTACCGACGATTTCCGTGAGACGAACAAAACTGCAACACAAAAACAGACGGCGTTTCGCGCGAAGAAGGTTTATCGTTCCAATGATTAAGGGATGGTTAATGCGTATAGAATAGGTGGGTGGATTTAAAGCTCTGATTTCAAGAGATTTGCGCGTAAATACGTAGGTAACGGATAGACATTTTTCATCGGGATAACGGTACACCGCGAAAACGGAATAGATGTTTTCGTGTTGAAAATAAAACAATTTTCAGTAGCCACGAAATATTATTTTTACGGAATGCATAGCGGACTCGATAAGAAAAAAAAAATTCTAAAACCGACAAACTTTGTACCAACGTAAACAAGAAGAAAAAATACACGATATCAGATATTACGAGTCGTCCGTCAACCGCGTTATTGTTCGCCAATCGTTTCTCCGTCGCTCCAATGTCGTCGGATATTTGTCGTCCGCGACCGCTATAAGACCAGGGTCGCACACGCGTGACAATCGTGACGAATCAAACCAGGACGAGCATAAATTATACGGCCGTCGTGGATACGAACTGGTACGCAATGCAGCAGTACTGTCCCGTAGACTGCCGATGATCCCCAGGGAGGTTTGCGCGAAAACGGCAAAACTTTAATGCAGTTACACTTGTACATGTAAAATACACGTTGTGCGTATATATGTATATATTATATTACTACGCCTGCGCGTATATACATGTGCATGTGTTTTAGTTTTTTCCCCTCAGTAAATATTTAAGAGGAAGGTGAAAGTTTGCAACGAGCTTACACCGTGTTTGATTCGTTACGGCTTCGCGCGTAGATCGATCGATCCTTATCGTATCGCAAATTGACCGTAGATCGTTATGATATATGTCGCGATTCGATACTGTCTCGATCTAGTCATCTGGATCATCTGGTAAGCGGTCAAATGCGTGATCACTTCAATCCGCCGGGCAACGGATGTGGCTCGTTGACATATTCAACTCAAAACTCAATCGGACTGAATCACACCCTTAAGAAACGTGCCCATTGATTCGATGTCCTCGACATCCAGTTGTACTGAAAAATCGAACGTCTAAATTGTTTAATCACCGTATGCGGTTTGAGTATACGTTAAATACAATTACTAGAGGTCAGATTTATAATCTCTTAAAATTCTTAAAATATGATGATTATTATGGTAACTATCCAATCCAGGGCCTCCTCAGTAATTTTCATGATGTCCTTCATCCCTTCTTGAAATTTTCTTTTTGGGCAGCATGACACAATGTGGTCCATTGTCTGATTTTCATACCCACAATCAGATTCAGGACTATCTCTGAGTTTCCACCGGTGCGATAGATATCCACAGCTGAGCCGGTATTATAAGTTCTGAGCCGGTTTAGAGTGAACTTGTCGAGGTAGCTTTAAATCCACCAGAAGTTGCGTGGGATCACTAACTAGGTTGGCATTCTGAAGTGTAAGACCGTTCCATTCAGTACGCCATTCTTCAGTTGAATTAAAGTTTGATTGAATATGGTGTTGGGCTGTAGTCCATGGTGGTTTTCTTGATTTCAATGATATCTGTGGGGAATTACATATCATTTGAGATAGCATAGAGTTTTTTTTAATATATCCTGTTTTATAAACAATTTGACTAGGGCCTCCTTTTTCTTGAGATTAAGAGGGGTAATATTAGACAGTACCGGAAGCTACTCCACCGGGGTTGACTTAAGCGTTCCACTTATCAATCGTATGATACTATTTAGTTGCACATCAATTTTTTTAGCATGTTGTCTGTTAAGCCACACTGCTGATCAATATTCAGCAGTAGAATATAATAGTGCTAGAGAGGCAGTTTTGAGTGTATAGGCGTCTGATCCCTATTCCGTCTCGATTAATTTCTATGTTAAGTTTACTCTTGATCTTGTCTTCTTTTGTACATTCTCTAAATGTTTCTTAAATGTCAAAGAACGATCCTAGGTCACTCTTAGATATTTAGGTAAAAAATTGTGATTTACAAGCACACTATTAAACTGAACTAGTAATTCACGGTCCACTTGTCTATTGTAGAGGTGAAAAGTACACACTTCTGTTTTAGACAGATTGAGAATAAGTTTCCATTTATAGAAATAGTCATTAATTAATTTCAAGTCATTAGTCAGTACTTTCTCCCCAATTGTCACGTCTTTGCTCTGATATGCTAGAGCTATATCATCTGCATATTGGAATTTAAAGCTTGACGTAACGGGTAGGTCGTATATATAAATATTAAATAGCATAGAGGCTAGCACTGAACCTTGTAATAATTCATCACTGATTTTTCTCCATCTGCTTTTCTTTTTCATCCATAAAAACTTGAAATCTGCGATTTGTCAACATGTTGTCTATGAGTGTCAATGTGTTTATACACGGAATTACGTTGGTCAGCTTATATTGTAAATCATGTCTCAAAACCGTGTCATATGCAGCTGAAAGGTCTATACATGCTACATTTGTTTTCATGCTATTTTGAAATCAGTTTTCGATCAGGGTTGTTAGCGCTAGTACCTGTTCAGCACAGCTACGGTTTGCCCGGAAACCTGTCTGCTCTAATGGTAGTACCTTTTCAATTTCAGATTGAATTCGGTTTAGTATCAATCTCTCAAGAGCTTTATACGTAGCACTTAGTAGCGAAACTGGACGGTATTGCGTTGCGTCGGTCCCTTCTTTTCCTGATTTAAGAATCGCTATGATTTTAGTCTTCTTGAATAATTTTGGAAAATATGCCGTATTCATTCAATTCCATATTATTCGTGGATATCCAGTCAAACAATATTTCTCCGTTATCGTCATCTATATCATAACCCCAATGTAATCTATAACAATTGAAGTCCCCAATATCTATTGTTAGATGTTTAAGAACACACAAAGGAGGGTTATTTCATAAAGTGATTGGGGGTTTGTACGCATATACTATATTTATTCCACTAACTTCTGAATTTGATCTAAGGGAAGTTGCAACTCTGTATTGTTTATGATGTATAGCTCCAATCAGAGTGTACCCAGGTACTGGCCCTTTTTGTGTAGGTCAGCTTCATCTATTGTATGCGTTTCCTGGAGTGCAATGACATATACTTTCTTTTCTTTCATTAGTTTTGATAAAACTTCGCTCTTAGCCGTTGAAATACCTTCGATGTTTAGATGACACACCCTGAGGCATGCACCTAACGTCTACGTTAATTGGCCCTGAAAAGGGCCATTTAAAGGCTGCATGCAGCTGTGTTTACTGGGTATCAGCACCTTAGTGGTGGTATTAGTTGCGTTATTTATCTGCTTCATACACAAAGGTTTTTTGCATATGTTATCTCATGCAGAGAGGGCTACGAGCAGGCTACCACAATCCTCCCCTTAAAACATGACGTTATGTGTCCCTAAAAATTCAAATAATCTTTTAATATTTTGTAAAAAAAATTATTATAATTACTTGGTTTAAATTTACCATTAATTAAATGTTATTATTAAATAAATTTAGAATAACATTTTGAAACGAATTGGTTTTAATGCCCATTTTAACCGTACGTGAATTATCCCTAATATCTAATGATTAATTCTTATAACAACCTAGAAGGATATAAAAATAACTCGCATTGTGATTATTGTAATTGTTGACTAACATTATCAAAATTCCAATATATGTAATATGTACATGGATATGCAGACAAATAATATGTAAAATAATGATAAATTATTTTCTTCGAAAACATTTTACAAAAAAAAAAAAATGTTTATAAAATATTTTCAAATATTCTTTAACCCCTAAAATATGCTTTTTTATGAAAAATAAATTTTTTTCTAAGTATTCTGTGTTTCATGAATAATAAAACATATCTCACTCTCATTTAATTTCCTAGACTAGTAACAAATATTTAAAATCATAAAAATCTGACCTTTAACAATTACTAAATTTCTATAAACAAAAAAATTTAAATTTAATTCCTAAGCAAAATGTTTACAAATGGTAGAATAAAAAGAATATCTCCTTTCACGTTTATTTTTATTTCCTGTCTTTTTTTTTTTTTTTTTAACCAAAGGATTTAGGTAAATAATAGTTGAGATTATGCAAAAGAGGATACAGTTAAATTAAAATTATTTTTCAGCGTTATTTTCAAATAATATACAATCGGTCCGTTTGAACTTATTGCTATTAAAGTTCGGGTCGACTGTTCTGTTTCCGAAGTGGTGTGATTTGGGATGGATTGGCGATATTGGAAAAATATTAATCAAAGCACACCACGATGACGTTTTTTTTATTTTTTCAAGAATAAAAAGTCGAGATTTGTCGCAAGTATAAGATGTTAAAAATGGTCCACAGAAAGGTCGAATGAAAATTGCCGATTTATCGATACACTTTAATCCACCACTATGCATGACGTACCTACGATGTACGTCTTACATACTATTTTGTATGGTTAACGTGTGCGATAACGTATCACCTTTGGAGTACCGAGGATATGAGTATATATTGTACCTATAGGTACCGTAAATCTCACACGTTGATAGACGTACGGACATTTTGTTCTTAGCATGAACCGTTATTATTACACCGTAATAAAAATTATTACAGTGCACTATTCACACACGCGCACATACACATACACACACACATATATATGTATACGCGTACAGGTATTCGCTACAAGTATTAACGATGTCCTTAATGATAAAATGTCTCTTAGAGTTGAAAATTCTATAGAGTCACTGCCCAGTGTCGTTTGAAGGGCACGAGTTTTTAAATGCTTTTGAAAGAAAAAA